TACCTGGTGATAGGCCAAAGAACTCATAGGTGTACACGAGGAAGTCGTAGACAATCTGAATGGCAAATTGCAAAGCAAACTCATGAAAGGCAAATGAGGAATGTGAAGGATTGAATCACCGTAAAGTCAAATTCGGTTCCCAGGACCACCTTACATTGGGAGACTAACTAAGCTACTGTTTCAAGCTAATTAGGCATTCGTGCTCGAAAAATTATGCTATCTCACCTATACCGTACTCGACAATCTCTATCGAAGTACGCTGTGGGTGTCAATTTAAAATTAATTGTTCGGATCAATTATATGAGCAGCGGCTTGATGCTTGGTCAATTGAACCCTATTCTCTACCGGGTCAGCTACTAGGCGTTAGGCTGCTTCATAGCAAATTTGGAATAAACTATTTGTGATTTTTACCTCTGCTCAAATGTTCGTGAAAATGGAATTCACTCACCTTCTGTACAGTATGACTTTCAACTTGGGAGAAGCACGATGATAAAACTCCATCAACCACTAAAGCTCCGTCAACAGTCATAGGCGAGTAGATTCCGGCAGAAATTTGTCGTCCAATCTAAAATTTACATGCATTTACAATTCTCTGAGACTTTTTCTGGTATTTTTGCGAACTAACCTTAACGATTTTTTCAACTGCTACTTCGCCATTTCTAGCCACAGTCATCACGCAGTCTCCAACACTTGCGCTGTCTGCGTAGCGAGATGCTCGTAATAAGCGGTCCACTCCGTCAGTTTTCTGAAGGGTCCTGAAACAAAGTGGACGTCGAAGAGCTAGAAGCTAATGAAAAATAAACTCGTTTTACCTTCTCATTGCACTGCATTCTCCGAAGGGCAGCAAATGTAGAGGAGTCATCGCTAGTCTCTTTTTCGACTCGGTGAACAGAACAACGAACTGCGCTCTTGTTTCAGGTTCTCGATGATAGAACATTTCCACACGTTCGTACTTCAAGACTCCACCCGCGCTTGGCACCAATACCTAAAATTGTTTTATACCCCTCCTGATGGGAAAAAAGAAATCTTTGCGCTTACGTAATCTCCAACAGCCAACTGGTCCATTCGTTTTTGTCCGGTTACTGTAGTTACCAGGGCATCGGCTGGGAAACAGTTCATCCTCTTCAGACGAGCTATTGCCTTCTGCATGGCCTTCGGATCTGCTGCTTGTTCAGCAACACCTAAAAAAGACAGAATTTGCTGGTCCTACAACGATCTAATCGTATAATTAAGAAGAAACCTCACTTTGTTGTCTAGTAGCCGCAGGCGCTGCAGATGCTCTTGGCCTGTTTTTGGCACCTTTGGCTCTTTTTTTACCTCCCTTCTTGACAGAACCTCCTTGCTCTGCTGTACCACCACCACCACCACCACCACCACCA